CCGGAAGCTCTTGTTCAAACCCATTATTTTTCTAAAAGAATTTCTCTTTACCAATTGCCCATGGACTTCTTTTGTTTCCATATCACTAGATTGTGATATCTAATTAGAGGCAGTATGTATAATGTCCAAAGTTTAGTCAGGATTCTTATTGGAACAATCTTTCTCATATATTCATTTAACATTGAAGAGTTAAGAGTTAAGAAACCTTCTAAAAGAAGAGGATAATCAAATTTATTTAACAAAGAGCTTCAAGATTATCTATTGGAAAAAATCAAATAATCCTTGAACAATGCAATACAAGATCTGAAAACTAATCTTATATATGATTGTTCCCAACTTTTAGTTTTATTTAAAAATACCAATCAAAACACATGCACTCATAACATTTTTAGAGATCTTTTTAAGTATCAAGAGAGTTTACTTAAGATACTCGAATGCGCAGATGATTTACATATTTATGATTTAGTGTGTTAAATTCTATGTAATTGCCCAAAAATCATAAATAATGATATTAATTTTCTGAGTTCTAATAAAATTAATTGATGGATTACTATTATAAGGATCTTAGTTATAAAAAATTATGCAATGAACAAATTGAATCCCTGCAATTTGATATTGAAAACTATGAACCAACTTAATTAGATGAAATTTCAAAATTTTAAGAAATTTACCCAAAAAGCGATTTCCATTATTTAAACTAAAAAGCCTAGTAATAAAGCCCAGTATTTTTACCTGTATTCAGCCTGTAGCGATATTGGATTGCTTTTTGAATCCTAATAACCCTCGGACTTTCGTTTTTTTGCCCACTTTGTCCTCTATTGAATTTTTAAGATATAACTCAGATTAAATAAATTTCAATTTTTAAATCATGTCTACAGAAATTTGTGATAAGGCAGAGTTTTTATCAACATTTTAATAAACAGAAATTTGAATATCTAAGAGAGCACTATTATTGTCATTCAGAATTTTCACTCCTTTCTGTCATATATTATTTAACAATCATTCATAATAAGAAATCATATTTGTATTTAAGGTTGATAGATTAGAATCAGGTAACTAAAGCATATTTAAAAGTAAGAAGAGAACAGATTTTGTTGATTTTTATCGTGAGATTATATATTTAAATAATGAATTTTTGGATAATATATATGTAAAGTTTCTTTATGAATAAGGTTAAGATTAAGGGATTTTGTTAAATAAACAGAGAATCCGATTTAGATCCTGGTCATCTTAAAAAATTTGAATTCGTAGGACAGATTTTTCCTACTGCCATACATAACAAACTAAAAGTATTCGTTTAAATAAAATGTAGTGTAAAAATTCCTTTATTTTTCCATTTAATATCATGATGAAGCTATTTATACAACAGTCGATTACATCGATCGTGATAATTTGAGTTAAAATTGGGGTTTTTATTACGCATACACAATTTCAAATTAAGGGGTACTTAAAAATATAGATCTTATACCAGAGGAATAGGAATAAAAGTTAGTCAAAACAATAAAAATGATTCCTTAAAAAAGTATTGTCGTGAGATAATAGCAAAAAATATTGAAAATTAAATGAATACCAAAATTTTTTATTCGTGATTCAAAATTAGAATTATTGCTATGTGGCTAATATTATATAGATGGTAATATTAAAATATAATTTCTTAGTTGAAGATCTTATACTAAATCTCGAGTATGTTGGTTATAATCTTGTTAATTAGTAGATCATATGGTTATAAAATACATTGAGAAATTTCAGTTAAGATTGAATTGTAAATTTAAAACGGTAAAAAAGTACTAATATTTAGCCTACCCTTTGATGCCAATAGGAGTATTTAAGAATTCTAAATGTTAAATTTCAATTTACTTATGTGATTATGAGTAAAGTGACATCAATTAACTATTACCTGCAGGGCATACATGGTATTATTTAGATTTAATTAAAATAGTTCTTTTGAATTGCATTTACCTCCTTATTCATAGTAAGAATTTTAACTGCAAAGTTATAGCTTGCTGTAACAGAAGGTGAAGCAACATTTTCATTGAGTTGATTATATTAAAATAAAAGAATAAGATTTAAGCGTTCTTAAGAAGCTCCTATCATATATTTTTGATAATATTATCAAAGTATATATTCTTATTAGTCTGCAACTCTTTTTAAATGAAAATTAAATAAATTAATAAATTTTAAACAAAGCGGTGTAATTCAAAGAAATCAAAAAATTAACTTTAATTCTGCAATCTTTTGATATTTATAAAGAATTTTATATTAATAATTGAAATACATTTGAGCTTTCATAACTTATTATCGTCATCTTTGAGAAGTTCAATTAAATAAGACATTAGCTGATTGTAAAATAAGTTTAATTCCATTTTATTAATAAATTCTTAAAATCATTTTTAATTCTTGAAATTTAGTTTCAACATGCTGGCCAAATCAAATTGCAATTTATTGACAGAATAAATTTTTATAATCTAAATTTTAATGATGTCACTAAATGAGCATTCTAGAGAACTGTCCCTCTCAAGCCCTAAGTTCAATATGAAGTAAGTGGTGAAGAGTTTGAACAAGCGCAATTAAATTTTGATGAATTAAGAAGGAATGATGAGGAGAAGGTTTAATTCAATGCTGTAGAGCAAAGACTTCTATAAATGAAAAGAACGCAAGGTAAGCTTTGGTGCAAGGAAAGAAAGTGAGTATCGACAATGGAAATAATATAAAAATTTAAGAGATCGAAAAGAAAGGGGATGAAAAAAATAGTAGAAATTGGAAGAAGCGAAAATTTGATCTTATTAGGGTATATCATGTAAAGAATAAAAAAGTCGTAAAAATTATTTCACAATTAAAAATAGGTATCAAATATTATCATAAAAAAGAATATTATTTTGAATCCTCATAAATAAGGTTGATTATGAAGCATTCTCATGTAATTAGTATTATTATTATTTAGCTATTAAAAGCTGTATTATGCATCACATAATATAATTTTGAAATTTAGGATTATTTATTAGTTCAAAATCAAATAAATGGACTCTCTAGGAAATATTTTGAAACCAGCAAACTCATTTTAAATATTTTTGGGTTGACTATCCTTTTGAAAAGTTGAATGATAATGTTTTTTGCATTTCTGAGCATTTGAAATCACTAATTAGATCCAGAAAGTGATATAATTAAAGCAATAGTTAAGTGCTGATAAAAATTACTTCCCATACAGTAGAACTAAACTTATAATTATTTTTAAATTATAATCAAATGCTAATAGTTTATAGCTTATATTTAAGAAGTGATTTAATTCTTAAAAAGTTAATAATTTTTTTTGGAATTAACTATCTTGAATATCGGTTTTCAAATTTTAATTAGGTGGTATGGATTGAGACTAGAATTATAACTCAAATGGAGATAATAAATTAATAATAAGCAAGGTTGTGATATTTATAATAGATTTAATTAATTAATATATATTTTTATTTATTATGTTTTAAACAAAAATGATAGAATTAGAAGAATAACTTGATTGTAGCAAAAATCATAAGCAACCAATTCAAATGGTGATATTAGATAAAAAATTGATGAGAGAGGAACACCTTTTATGTTCTATTTGCTTGGAAAATTTTGAATCAGATACTAAAATAATTGGATTTAAAAAAGTACTCAAAATGATATAAGAAAACTAAAAGAATTAAGTAGAAAATATCTAGAGATTAATCGAATTTGATGTGGAAATGGTAGAATAATTTTTGAATGAACTTCATAAATTAAGGTCATATTTTATTTTATTATTTGATGAATTATTAACTAATTCATAAGAGTGGATCAATAGTCTTAATGCTATTGGATAACATAATTCAAACTATAGCTTTTTTGATGAATTAGATAAAATTATAGATGGTAGGATTCAAAACCAATTCGATTAAGAATCAATTGTTAACTAAATTACAACGCTTAATAATTCACTATGTAGTAAAATTAATTTACAATTTTCTGCTCTCAAGAACCAAGAAATATATTCATAATGTGGTAGTATTTTGATCAATTTAAATCTAAATCATCATATGAAATTAATTGATAATTCCATAAAGTAGTCAAGTCCATGTTATGCAATTTCTTTTAATTAATCTGGAACACTCATGGTTTCAGCCTACAATTGTGACATTAAAATATGGAATTTTGAATAAGGTAAAATGTATGAGATTATCAAAATTAGTGGACATACTTCAACGATATGTTGTCTTTAATTTAGTAAGTTGAGCAATAGTTTCGTTTCGGCAGGCTTTGATAAATCAATAAGATGTTGGAAATAAATTAAATAAAATGAATGGCATAGCTCTTTATCCTATTAATTACATACTGAATGTATAGATTGTTTACTTTTAAATAAATCTGAAACTCAGCTTGTTTCTGGAAGTAGAGATAAATCAATTAAAATTTGGAAAATAGATTTAGTCAATAATTAATTAACTTATCTTTATTCATTAGATAAACATACTAGTTCTGTTTGGGACTTATAATTAAATTCAGCAGAAGATACTTTGGTTTCTTGTGGGAATGATAAATAGATAATCATTTGGAAGTTAAATGAAATGGAAAAGTGGTAATTTGGATATGTAGTTATTTAATCAATTTAAGAAGTTGGATCTAGATTATGCTTCTTAAATGATGACTAATTTATTTGGGTTACAGGTAATAAAGTAAGCAAGGATTGCATCAGTACATTTGAACTAAATAATTAATAATATCAAGAAAATTTGAAAAAAGAAGTAAAATTAATTCAAAATTCTAAAGATATGGAATTTAATTTGTTTCCAATCTTTAAAAGTAAAAACAAGAATTTAATAATTGTGAAACATAAAAGTTATGTTTATGTGATAAAAGTATAAAAAGAAGGGGAATTAAAAATTATCACATAGCTAAAATATGAATCAAATTGTATCTTAGGAGCATTAACTGATGACGGAAGGTATCTAGTAACCTGGGATAATATAGGACAGAAATTTACTCTATATGAATTATTAATTATTTGAGACAAAATATAATACTTTTAGGGCTATTGATATAGTTTTTCATCACATTATAGAAAATAAATATTTTACCTTCGATTACTTATTAGTCTGGAAATAATTCACAATTTATTAGCAAGTAATTGAGAAAGTGATAGTTAGAGCACAATAAATGCAATTAGTTTACAAGTGTATTCCAATTTTAAAAATCAATTTTATATATTCAGTTTTTGTTTACTATAAATCAATTTCTTAAGTATGCCAGGGTTATGATTTAAAACCCAAAATTTAGAAAAAAAAGGCTATATCAAAACCTCTTAAATATTGGAATAAAGTATCAATGTCATGATTTGGTATTTATCTCTGCTATATGGACAGTCTACTCGCTAAAATTCTACGAATTAATGTATTGTAAATATCCTATAATTTCATATTTATAACTTTTATATGATATCTTCTTATGAAGTTCAATATTAAATTAATTAAATCATTATAACAAATAAAAAAATCGACTTTTTGATTCAATCCTATATAGAATGATCAAAGGATGAGTTTTTGACCCATTTAAGCAACTAGAATCAAAAAAATTTTGAGTAACTCATTTAAGTGGCATTAGATTAAATGCCTAATTTTTAAGATCAATAAAAAACAATTATTACAATCGTGATATACACAATTGCTAAGAGCTTCAAATAACAGAATATGAAATAGAAGAGCCCTTTATTACAAAAATTTTCATTTTAATTTTTAAAAATATATTTTGTATATTGAAGACAGATGGTTTGGACATTCAGTTAGACAAAGTCAGAGAAGAGTATTTAGCTAATCAAATCTATATTAAACACGATATTTAGTTTCAAAAATTACTGTACATTTAAGGGAGCTGAAACGAAGGTAGAGGATTTCAATATTTAAAGTAGAAGTTTTATATGTGCTTTGTGTCACTGTTTAAATTCTTTAAACTAAATCCATTGATTATGCTCCTTCGAACATCTGAAGACTGAATGAATGTATCATATATGGCAATATTAAATTGCTAATGACTTGTTCAAGCTAAGAACAAATTAAATGTTCAGAAAATAATAATTTACCAGCATTTCAAATCTTACTTTCCAAAATCTAATTATATTATCATATCCAATTGAAATTGTATGGTAACTTCATTATTCAAATGAAGCATCTTTTATAATAGCTAAATCAACTACCTTATCAGCGTCCATGTTTCAACAAATGCTATTGATTATGTCCCTTATAGTATTCTTGATCATTGCAGAATATCTAAAATCCTCTCTTATGCACTATTACTATCAGTAAAAATCTCTTCAAAAATCTGTTACAACTATTCATTAGCACCTATTACTTATCGACCTAGTCCACTAATTGAAATTGCTTATTCAAAACATAAAATGGTCTCTTTAAATTTCTTTAATTTATGTAATATTTAATGTTGCAGAAAAAGATTAGAGCCAATCCCAAATTATCATCAAATTTACCTTTTTTACTAAAAGCTATATCATATTTGGGATTAATTAAAATAACTTTGTCGAAACACTCAATTGCTTCTTAGTATTTCTTTAAATTGTGTAATGTTGTACCTATATTACAAGGCAAAAATAGATTGAAATTCATTACCTTTACGAATCCATGCGACATCCTTTTAAGAATTAATTAAAATAGCTCTGTTGAAGCATTGCTTTTTAGAATTTCTTTAAAATTTTTAATGCTGAATCTAATTAATAATAAATTCATATATATATATATTACCGTTTTGATTCCATGCTGCATCATAATTAGGATTAATCGCAATAGCTTTTTCGTAACATTTAATAGCTTCTTAGTATTACTTTAAACTTTTTAATGCTGAACCTATATATAAAATAATACATTGAAATATATTAACTTTGTTTTACCATGCAGTATCATTTTGGGGATTTAAAGAAATGGCTATTTCATAGCACTAAATTACTTCTTAGTATTTCAGTAAAATGTTTAAAAACAAAAGCGATGTACATAAAAGACAATGCTTAACCTATATAATAATAAATTTAAATTTATTACCTTTGTTATTCAATGCTGTATCATATTTAGGATTAATTGAAATAGCTTTTCAAAGCATTCAATAACTTCTTAATATTGCTGTAATTTTGCTACAGCTTAAATGAATACTTAATTCTAAACCTATATAAAAATATATTAAAATTTTAATACCCTTCTCATTCCACACTTTATCATTTTTGGAATTTATTGAGATAGCTATGTTGAAGCGCTCAATAGCTTCTGAATAGTTTTGTAAATTAGATAATGCTACACCTATTTTCTAATAAAATTTGGAATACCGGCTTTCAAATATTTCCTCAAAGTTGTAGAATTACAACTGTTAGAAATCATGCTTCACCTAATTATATTCTTCTTTATTAGAATCTTTTTATAAAGCGGAATTAATTTAATCAACTACTTAATTATATTCTGCTCACCAAAATTTAATTGTTTCAAGTATATTATTAAATTGTAATATTTATCATTCTATTATTATTATTAATTAATTAAACAAGATACATATGTAATTTTCTTTTTCCTTTGAATAATAAAATTTTATTATGTGAATTTATGACTTAAAAGTTAAATAACCCTTGTTTTAAAGTTGTTGATCCATATCTTCTAATATTTTAATATCCTAATCTATTGGTTTTTAAATCCATTCAAAGTGATTTTAGAATTATTTAGAGATTTCTTAAAGTTATTTTTTATTGATTATTCACCTGAATAAATTCATTTATAATTTCGATGATTTAAGTGAATCGAATACAACCATTGAAATGTAAGGTATGATTCTTATTTAAACATTGAAAGCAAAATTGAGTTGCATTTTAACAACTCTGATTCAAACAAGATCCTAGTATTTATTCATTTTCATGGCGAAGATATTTACATCTAAATATGTTCATACAAATTCTATAAAAAAAAAATTAATATATTAATAAATTATCTTTCACACTCGAATATCATTAATAAATAATAAAAATCAATTAATTTATTATTCTTTCATCATTATATTATAAATTAACTTAATAATAATCCTACTATTTAAAATATTTTATCTTTTTTATTTTTAATAAGATTAGTCTTTCAATTATTGAAGAAAATTCTTTTTTAATATAATTTTCGGCAATCCAGTATTAATAAGTAAACTATTTATACTAGTTACATAATCATTTTAAAATTCATTAATTATAGCCGTTTTTTTTGACCATATTAATGAGAAAAAAACTTCAGTCTGAGACTCACAATAAATTCCATCTAAATATTCTGTTTTTACCCTCCCTTGATCTCATAAGCCTATGATAATAAAAATATTTAGATTAATGGAATAATTTATAGTTGAGTGAATTCCAGATCTTAATACGTATAAAATTTTTTTAATATGCGAAACTTTATCATAGCTTATTAAATCTCAACAATTCTCCAAATCCTAGGAACAAATGCATAACTCTAAATCCTCAAATAAAGAAACCAGATTAAAGTTTTATATTCTTTATTAGGAATGGCAAATGGAATTCAAAAATCAGATTTATATAAATTCTGATGCAGTTTTGCACAACAACAGAGGCATATCAAATATAATGTAAAATTCAAAGGTTGCTTGATATTAAATTATTATGTAATATATATTTTTATTTGAATATATATATCATTAAATGATTATGGCTCTATTGATGGAAGAGAAGAAATTAAAAATTACTGCCATTTGTAAATAGATCTTATACTTTATTCCAAATCTAAATTAATCTGTTTATTTTCGATATTATCATGCTTTATTTGCTTAGCTGTTTTATCATCTGTTTTTGAATTCCTAAGATTTATAAAATAATTGATAATTTTTTTTTATATAGCAAACAATTTTCTTCATTAAAAATATAATATACAATTATTGAAAGAAAAATAAATAGGTTTTCATTTGATAAACTCCTTGACATTAAATAACTTAATTAAAATTACTTCTAATTCGTCCTGATTGACAGGTTTGGGTAGAAATGTGTCTATACCCAATTTCGACCCTTTAATATAATTTTCTTAAGTATCATAGGCAGAACAAATTACAATCATTGATTATTTTTAAGTCAATTTCAAAATCTGACAATTATTATTAATAACTTACTTGCTTGCTTGTTTGAAATCCATCCATCCCTGGCATTTCAATATCCATTAATATTAATTTATATATTTGACAATGTTATTACATTTTGAGTTTAACTTTTTCAATTGCTTAAAATCCATCAAATACAGAATCCGCTTGGATATTATAATGTTTTAGCATCATTTTCAAAGCTATTTAATTAAATGGTATATCATCCACCACTAAAACATGAGTACAATTTTAGCAAATTGAATTTTACTATTAAATTTTTGAATTATCTAAATTTTTACAAGAAGCCATATATTTATGTTAAAAATATTCAGGGCTGACAGGCAGTAAGATTTCTTATTGTATTTCAAAATCATTTAACCTAGGAGTTGCCTTATAGGTTTCTGAATTTTGATCTTAGTTTACTTCATCATCTTAAATCTTAAAAAATGAATTATCAATTTGTTTAACACCCTATTCATCTATTTTTATTTTATTAAATGTATATAATTTCTCAGATAAATTAAACTTCCCTGTTTATTGAGTAAATAAATTGGAAGATTATTGATAAGCATTCTAGTTAAGTTGCATATTATCAACTCGAAATGAAACAAATGTTCCTTCATTTTTTATAGATCTTATAATAAGTTATTTATCTTAAGATTCAGTTAACCCTTAAACAAGTTTTGCTACAATACTCAGTCCTAATCCTTTCTTCTTAATTTCTGAATTTGATTTCAAAATTGCACCGAATTCTATTGTGTCATATAAACTACTTTATATCAGATGCAATTATTCTTCAGCAATGCCTATTCCATTATCCTTTACTTCAATATTAATACCAAAGTACTCCTTTTCAATGAAACTTAAATGAATGCAACCTCCTTCTTTTGTAAATTTAATAGCATTGTTTAATAAATTTACTAATACTTATAATATTCTTTACTTATCATTACACATGAGAAAATCGGTTAAATTTTTGGAAATGAGAATTTTAAATTTAATTTTCTTTAAAAACATTTAGTCTTTATATAATTGTTCAATTTCTTAAATCAATTAATTTAATGGAAAATATGACATGTGATATGAAAATTAGTAGGATTAAATAGCAGCATAATCTAATATGTCATTTATTTGATGAATCAATTAAGCATTTGAATTCTAAGCAATTGCTAGACACGTCCTAAATTCTTCTTCACTTTGTTATTTATTTATCAGATTTAACATTTGTTAACAACTGTTTAAAGGAGTCCTTAACTCATGAGAAAAGGATTTGATAAGGCTGTGATGAATAATTTATTCCTCTCTTAGTTATTGGAATTTATGTTTTTGTGTTATGTTTTTTATAATGATAAGTAGAACTGGGTTTTCTATTTCATTTGTTGGCTGAAGGTTAACTTTGATACAACTTTATATTTACGATTAAGATTGGAAGTACTCTTACTATTAATTTGTCATAGAAGTTGGAATAATTATTAATTTCAGTTTTTTTTATGAATTGTTTTACTATTATCCAGATTTAATAATCCATTCGTAAATAAAAACTTATGACATGAAATTTAACTAATTATCCATATAGTTTGAATCTTAATTGAATCCTAAAAGATGTTAATATTTTTAAGGTTATATCATAATGTCTAATACATCAATTGGTAGATTTCTTTTCTATTATATAAATATTATTTCTTTGAGGAAATGATAATGAAGTTATTTTTATTATGTCTTTGCTTGGAAACTATTCTACTCATCCCACTCGGAATCTCGAATTTTTGCATTGTCTACACAGCTTCTCACCCTTTCTAATACTTTTTCTTAACCTTAACAATCTAAATGCTTTTCACATTTGTTATTCATATAACTTACTGATAATTAAGAATTTAAAATTAAGATTCCTTAAGGAAAAAGATTTAGTAAATTGTAATAAAATGAATTCGCTGAGTGATCTGATTTTTCAAAACTTTTATTTATTTTTTAAAAATTACTCAAATTTGAATACTGTATCAATTTCACTTCACTTGGCGGATCTCTCAAAACTGCACTTAAGTTGAGTTAAGGGGATTGAGATGATTTGCTTTATGATTTAATTTATGGATATATCTATTAATTTTAAAGTATTGGAGTAGAGTCTCTTTCCTCTTTTATTGTTAATTGGTATTTATTAGTTTTTTCTTGAAAAGTTTTATTAAATGTAATTTAGAGCATAATTGCATATTTTATGAATAAAAAACTTATGATAATCAAGCTTTCTAGCTCCTCCAAACCAAAATTTCTAATTAAAGCAAATATGATTCTTATTATAAGATATAATGGAATCCCTAATTTACAGATTAAGCTGTATTTTGACACAGCTATTTTCAAATAATCCATATAAGTGAAAATAATCAACAAACAATCAGCTAGCAATTCAAAATGATGCTTCCTCTCAACAAGTAAATAGGATTCAAAATATATTACATAATATAACAAGGACACCAAATGAATAACTAAATTAATTCCACATTCCTTTGCAATTAAAAATTGCTAAAAACTCCTGACCAAAAGACAAGCCAATTGTAAAATAAATACTAAATAATTTATTGGCTAACTTAACCATAAAGTATTCGAAGTCCACCATATACCTTATATAAGATTTGCAATAAAAATTGAGTTCAGCCATAACTTTTCCAAGAATTTTCTTATTTTATTTGAAAAGTTCATATAGCTGTGATAATAAACTAATATAATAAACAAAATAATTCAAGTGCATTCCTCTATTAAATCAAACTAAATTTATGTTTATATCTATTTTTAGAAATAAAGTTTTACTACCCTCACCCCCTATTTTATACTATCACACCCCTAACTACTTAAAATAAGCATATAATTTATCAGAAAATTATTTAAAAGATAAATAATAAGAATTCTGTTAGATGAAAACAAAAAAACTGCTATAATTTCTGTTATTTTGATTTTAAACAAATATGAATCCTTAAACATCAGATCGGAATATATTAAACAAGAACATTATATTACAACTATTGAAAAATTAATGTAATTTAAGAAATTTAGTTATTAAAAATTTTTATTGATTTCATAAACTTGATTTCATCATAATCCAATCTAACATAATGAATATTAAGAAATCAGAATTTCAAATCAAAACTGTTTATTAAAATTTATAATCAGTACAAAAACTTAGATTTTCTTCATTTTGAACAACAAACTTCTATTAAAATTATTCTGATTTTCTCATTTAGAGGAATTTCAAATTTAATTTAACACTCCTCTACTTATTTTCATAAATTATGTAAGGAAAAATAAATTTTTTTTAATATTTATTTTAAGGTAAAAATTCTTGAAGTGAAGAGGTAATTCAACAATCTTTCTTTGGCACAAATATTAATAAATAATTGTCAGAATATCAGTCAAACCTAAGAATTTTTAAACGACAGTTAATAGTTTTATTTAACTTAAGTTCTTATTATTAATGATAACTCTTAAATTTTTGAGTAAGATGAATCACAATTAAAAAATCAATTTTATATTATGATTATTTATGATGAAAAAAGAAGTGAATAAATAAATTAATTGTATGGCATCGATTTGAATTCAGACTTTTGATAAAGAAATGTTGATTAAGTTTTGAAAGCTTGCCTTTGTCTCTCTATCTGTAATGAAAAGAATCTTTTTTGAATTACATATTGATTAATTCAATTTTATTTACGAATTTTACTCATCTCTTCAGATTGTATGCAATATAACTAAAAGTTACCCTTCTGCAGTTGGAATTTAATATATAATTCTTCCATAAAAAACATAAAATTCTTTCTTAGGTTATTTTCATATCATATATATCATTAAATTATCAATAAAAATTCCAATCTAAGTTTTAATGAAGAATCAAATAATAGTATGATTCAATTATAGAGTTCCTTTTTCAAATACAACTCCTCGGAGTGAGGAACTATTGTATTTTATTTCTCAAATTCATTATTTGAGAAATAAAGAATGATCTCTTCCCAAAAAGTCACAGATTTGAAAGGAATCATTTTTGTTATCCTTAATTTCTTTATAGCAAGTTCATAATTTCCACATTTTACACCATTCATAAATTAGATAACAATGTTAATGATTTTAAGTCAATTCCATTTATTTTGTTTGCAATTACATATTTCAATTGATTTATTGTGAATTCCACTCTTTATAACTACAATCCATCTTGTAATACTCTTTAGGTAGAGCGCTTTCATTCTATATATATTTAAATTTTATTTATAACAAAATATTTAATATTATTGCTTGTATTTGTATTTGATTTTTGGCCTTACATATACACACATTTTGTACAAGCCTGATGTTATAATATATTATTTTTACAAATAATTATCTCCATAAAAGATTGAAGATTGTAAATATGATTGACAAATTCATAGCAAATCATTTCTCTATTATTTAACGCTTAATGGTTGAATTTTCTGAACATTATTTTATAGTCCAAAAATATAAGTATAATTATTATTGCTTCGAAACTCGAATTGGTATATAAATAATTTATAGCTGTTATCCCATAGTAAAAACGTATGATAATATCTTAATTCATGTAAATTAGAGATGACTCAAATTATTAATTTCGATTAATTTAACCTCGTAGATGCTGAATCTAATTTTATATCTATTATTTTTGCCAATATTATATTTTATTCAAAGAGTAAACAACTTATGATTTAAATCATAATTTTATTATCTCCATATATTTCAATTCTTTTTATTATATTCTCCATTCTAAACCCTCTATGATCGATATTTGAACATATTTTTCATTTTGATCTTATTTATCTTTTCTTTTGTTTCACCTTCTAATTCTTACTCTTCTACTCATGAATTATCTGAATTAATCGATAAAAATTCATGATAATTTTTTTAACTAAAAAAAAATAAAATACATTCTTTTACTTTATCATTTTAAAATATTGACGTGATCTCTTATCTTTTATGTTTAATATATATCTATAGATAATTAATCTTGAAGGTACTTCCATTTTTTCTTAACCTGATAAGTTAACTGGGCCAACTTAAGAATAAAATTGTTTAGTAAGCTAATCCAAAGTCTTAATTTTTGTTATTTCTAAAAGTAGAATCAGTTTGCTCCATATTTAACTTTGCTAGATATTTCTTAAATAGCAACTATTGTCCAAAAATTTAGAATTCCAAATTATGAAGATATTTCAAACAAAAGAATACCAAAAATTGATGAATAACAAAATCAATCTTAGAAGTTTCTATATTCTTGAAGAGACTATTGGATGAATTCTTAAATAATTGGAAAATTCAGAATAAAATTTTATTGAAATATGTGTAATCCTAAATGGAAAAGAGTATTAGATTTCCTTATTTACCGTTATTAAAATTATCAATTCATATGAATCTCATTTTATTATGTTGTTTTGTTATTGATACTATTTTATTTTTGCTATTATAATTACATTTAACGCGTTAGGGATTTTACGTGTTAATTATTATTAGTTTAGTAATAAATTTAAGATTGTTTAATAATGGAAATCGAAGATATAAAAGAAGCAATCTCCTTTGAGTCAATAACATGTAGGCAAACAACTAAAGAAATTGAAGTGGTCAAAATGGGTTAAACTAAGGAAAAACCTTTTAAGGCGAAGCTTCAAATTACATTCACAGTTGATAACGAAATCATCTATTTATACGATGGAATAAACTTAAGAAAGTAAAATGATTTTATATAAACTGAAAGAGAATATATTTTAGATTCTTAGGATAATCCATAAATATTAGCAAATATGGATTAGATCTAACATCGTATATGATAAGGTGAATATGGACTGAACAATAAAAAAACAGGAAATCGGATGGCTACTTGGAAAGGAGTCGACATTCCATAAGTTGGCGAATATTACGAAAGGATTGAAGCAAGGTTAATTGAAAGAACTTATAAAAAATGATTGGAAGTAAAAATTATTTATTTAATATAAAAAATAGTAAAGCATAAGCATATGAATTTGGAGAATACTTAAACAATAATAAAATTAGAAGGTGGATATACATCTATGAAAAAAAAACGATGTACAATGATTTATAATAAAATATTAGTGGTGGAGGATTTTATGATGAATAAAATTAAAAGAATGGTAAGTGGACTGAATTGAGTGATGAATTCAGAAGGGTTTCGTAAGTTCTTTATAATGGCGAGTATAGGAATGGAAAAAAGGTTGGCAGATGGGATAGTTTCTTCAGGGAGGAAGAAAAAGAAAATTTTTTAGAATTGTAAATAATAAAGAAAAAGTTTAGTGTTGGTGGATTATATGCTGATTAGATGCAGGGAGAGTCAACCAAAAATGGGAAATGGGTTGAGTTGAACAATGGATTTGAAAAGTTTTCTTAAATCACTTATAATGGTCAGTATAAAAATGGTAAAAAGGTTGGTAGATGGACAGCTTTTTATAAGGATCATGGAAAAGTAAATTTTGAAGAAATGTATTAATAAATAAAAGCCTAGTGGTTGTGGATGCTACGCTGATTAGATAGAAGGAGAATCAGTTAAAATAGGGTAGTGGATTGTGTTGAGCGATTAGTTTGATAAGTATTCTTAAGTCACTTTAATTGGTGAATATTAAATGGGAAAAAGGATGGTAAATGGGATATTTTATATATGGGAGAAAAAATGTAATTTTTAACTTATAATGTTATTAAAACTAGTGGTGGAGGATCATATGTAACTTAGATAGAAGGGGAATCCATGAAAAATGGAAGATGGATTGAGCCAAGTGAAGGATTTCATAAGTATTCATAAATAACATATAATGGTGAATATAAAATGGGGAAAAAAAAAAAGGTTGGAAAAGGGATATATTACACAGAAGGAGTAACAAATTTGAAAAATTTAGAAAGATGTAAATTTATGAATTTGAATTTTAAGTGGTGGTGGAATGTATGAGGAAGGAAGTTAAAGGAAAATGCTAAGGTGGATTGAACTAACCGATGGATTTTTGGAGGCATCATAAATAACTTATAATGGGGATTATAAAATGGGAAAAAAGTTGGGAGATGGGTGATTTCAGCTTGGGAAAAATAAATGTAAATTTATAATATCAAATATGTATAATTAAAGTTTAGTGGTGGTGGATCAAATGATGAAGAAAATTAATTAAAGGTTGGAGTTTGGATTGAATTAATTGATATTTATAAATGGGATTCATAGGTTGCATATAAGGGTGAATATAAAAAAGGTTAAAAAATTGGAAGGTGGGATGTTTTGTATATAGGGAAGAAGGGAAAGAAAAATTTGAACTGATGTAAATACTAAATAGAAAATAATTAGTGGTGGCGGATCATATGATGAACAAGATTCTATGAAAGTTTGGAGGTGGATTGAATTGAATGATAATTTGGCATCGAATATGAATAATCATACATTATTTATGATGGGGAATATAAAAATGGGAAAAAAGTAGGTCTATGGATGGAAATGGATAGAAAATGGAATGAAAAAGAATTTAAGAAATGCCAAGAAATTTCATATGATAAATTAATATTATGCTTATTTTAAATGGTTAATCTTATTTTAAATTTCATAATGATATGATTGCTTGATGGAATATTTTATTGATCATATAGAAAATATTCGTAATGCAGATATGAGATATTAAATTTTTAAGGCCTATAGGGAGCATATAATTTTAATTATTCAAAAGTCTGGTTTAATTTTATTAATTAATCCAAAGATTTAATAAAAGTATAAAACCTTTTAGATTATCACAATAGCAAGAATTCGATATATAGTGCTATTATAATTGGAGATTAGTCTTTAACAACGTTACAATATTTGAGAGTATTAAATGAAGTGTAACTAATTCTGGATTAAATGAAAGGAGTCAGAGCTAAAGCAGAGCCAGTATTGAAAATGTCTATGAAAGAGAAAGTCAAGTCTGCAGACCAAATTAGAATAATACATTTATAGTGACACTATTTATAATGAAGTACATCACTCTCATAATTGGTTACCTTCAAAGCTCATAAGAAAAATGCATCATAAATTATTTATCAGAAGAATTATAGAGTCCTATATAAGCGTAAGCTTCTCGTTCTTTTTCTAATTTAAGGATTAATTGATAAATTAGATAGGGTGAAATTGTCTGCTAAATTACTTAATTGTGTTCACATTAATATTTAAATCTTGTTAACTAAAGATAAGATACAAAGCTTGTTGAAATTTTCAATTTGGGCAGCCATTTAATTCTCAAACATAACGAGTGTAAAATGCTATGTAAAATGGCAAAATTAAATTTTTAATATAAAAACTATAAAATATTTATATTATTTATGGGCACTAAATAAATAAAGGATAAAGATCATAATTAATAATAGTTTTAATATAAGAATTTGGAGGGATTCTAAATTACATATGAAGAAAAGTGTTTTGCTTTGGCATTTAATTAGAGTTGTTCATATCTAGTTGCAGGATCTGATTTTAATATTAAAGTATTTAAATTTGATTATGAATAATTGCAACCAACCTAGCTGCTAATTGCTCATAAAGATTATGTTTAAACTTTGAATTTCATGAAATAGACTAATTAAAGTTTTATATCTGGAGGCCGTGATAGTTTTATAATTATATGGGAATTAAACAATATGAGTAATTGGTACAAGAAATAAACATTGAATTATCACATTCTTCCAATTACTTGCTTAATAATAAGCAAAAATGAAGAGTTTTTCTTTTCAGGCAGTGATGATAGAACAATTAAACTTTATCATAAGAACCATGATTAGGAATGGTTTTGTAAATAAAATATAATGGATCATTCTGGTACGATTAATGGATTAAGTTTAAATTAAGAATAAAATAAGTTAATCACTTGTGCTTAAGATTTCAAGATATTGATTATAGAAAGGGATAATGATAATTGGTTTGTTATATAAACTATAGAACAATATGGATTGAGATTATGCTTTATTTTTGACAATCTCTTTACTTTTTAGCCGAATGACAACGCTATGTATCTATATTACCCTGAATCAAATAATTAAATTATTAATTATAAGAAAAAGAAAATTGGTACGAAACGAGGAGGTTGTGTTTGTACTTCCCTTTTTCCTCAATAATTTATATAATCAAAAAGTCTTTTAATGAATAAAAATGGAGGATATGTTCATTTCATAAAAATATTAGATTTAAATACTTATTATATAGTATAAACCATAAATTTTGGAACATATTGTCTCTCAGGAGAAATTAGTGAAGATGGTGAATATTTTGTAACTTGGGACAACTTATCAAACCAAATTCAAGTTAAAAAATATATTGAATGTTGATTTTCATTAAATCTTCATATATTTATTATGAAATTCAAAATCATTATTTAGATGAATTATATGAGATATGAAGACTATAATTCTATTTAAATTAAGAAGTTTCGGTCTAAATTTCAGATGCTAGTGAATTTGCCATTTCTAGATTTTTAAGTATCAAATATTAAACAATTAAATGAAAGTTAAAACTCTTTGTATTTATTTTCTATCTTTTATATCATCATTAACAGTGATAAATATATTTCAACTAATAAGAACTGAAAAATTATTTAAATTATTTGATGTTCTTAGGTTTAGTTGCATAATTTATAAAATTATATATGTCATAATTATAATAAATAATTCTAACTATCTAAAGATGAATAATTTATACCGCTATAACTAAATTTTTCATTACTTAAATATAGTATTTAGATAGAAATTATTTCTAATATTAAACTATCAACAATTCTGAAAATCTTGCTTTTCTCTAATTTATTTAAATCTAATCAGTTTTGTAAATTCCATTTTCAGCCATTTTTAAAGCAAGCAGAACGATCCACTATAAAATCCAAAAACAAATTATTAATAGGGTTCTTTTTCAGGCTCAATACTAATATCTTTATTTATCTTTTAAATACTCACGACTATCTGTTATTCTAAATCGTTTTGGTTATTTATTCTAAAAAAATGATCTCTTTTTAGCTATTCAGCTGTTTCAATCCCTTGCAGATTGTATTGAGATATACCAGCAGATCAATAAAAATCAATACTTAATACTATTCTCATATACAAAGAGCTGTAAGCTATGCTAGTTTAATTTGAGTAGAAGCAGAACTTAAAACCTCATCGTTCTAAAATGTGATTTATTATCATCACTTAATATTATTTTATAAGATAAATTGAATTCTTCACTCTTTAATTCAAAAGGTTTCCTTTAAATGAGTTAATAATTTATCGGAAAATAACTAAAATATATATATTATCCAATATTCAATTTTAAGTAATCACTATTTATATTAAGCTCACTAAAACATTATAGATTTCTCATATTCAATAGTGAAATCCTTTTTTAAATAAAAATAAAATGTCAACAAATGACTAAACATAAAACAAACTTAAAATTAACTTTATAAATATAAACATTTAATGAATTAAGATAGAATGTAACTCATATTATATGTTATCTGATAATTAAACTTTTTAAATTATAAACTAATTACAGATATTTAATTCTTTAGAAGAATATTTTGAAATCAAATTTGCAGTTGTTATTAATTAAAAAGAATTTTTAAATAAATGATTTTTTAGATAATAATACTCATTTTAAAGATTTTACTACAGCATTAAAAATTTAGTGTTTTTCTTTTGATTATTTAAGTTCATTAAGGTGGTCAATATTAAATTTTCAGTTTTCTAAGTTCTGGTCTTGGTCTAGCACTCTTAAATTTAAAATTGATCCACGCAGAGATGAACTAAATAGAAAAGGTCCTATATTTTTATTGTTTTAATATAATCTAAAATTTAAAGGATTTTCGATATAATTTATAGAATGAGCTTTAAAAGTATATATATATATATTTACTTGTTTAAGTATTTAATGAGTTTTAACAATTTCAGACTCATCCCTTTTATACAATCTCCTGAGAAGATTTTATACAATCTCCTAAGAAGATTTTAAACAATCTCCTAAGAAACTTTTTGGCGGTGAAAACTCTTTCATAAATACACAATTTTTACAATTTGCATCAATGGATTTATCATAAATACTTTTGATGCACTGTAAAGTTTGGGTTTTTTTCACTCAAAATATTACTCTATTTTGATAACAAACCTTAGATATTTCGAACTTTTATTTTGAATATAAAAAATAATCAAATCTTTTTTACAATGTTTATTATATGAATTCAGAATTAATTCCCTAATTAATTGCAAATATAAAAACGATAATCTTCAAATTTCTATATTTCTCTAATCTCTAAACAAATTAACAAACTAATATTTTTGCTATTTCTCAAAAATATATATGAAATGGAACTCGTTTTTATCATATACTCATAAATTAACATATACATAAACAGATTTATGAATGAATTAATAATTAAATTGTATAAATTCCAAACAGCAACTCATTATAAACCAATATGTTCTGAATCAAATAACAATATATGAAGATCTTTCAAGTTAATAATTCTAGAATATTCTATTCTTTGTAGATGTAATTATATTTACTACAATAAATTTTATTTGATATTTGGTTATTATCAATATAAAATGAATTCATTTTAGATATTACATTTTTGGATCTTAAAATAACATGAATCAATATCAGAAATCACTTATTGTGCAAATATATATAATTAAACGCATTTTATTGTTATTTTCTTAATTGGTAATTAAGTTGATGAGGATTAATTATGAATAGGGAAATAATGTGTGTTTGGTGATCAATTAAATTAAAAGATAAAAATATTTTAATTTTTCTATAATAATCAGCCATAAATACTGGAATTTGCTTCATGAATATTCAATTTATAGTGTTATTATGGTATGATTTCATCTTTATAATGATTACACAAATTTCTAAGAATGAATAAATTATTTAGATTGATAATTGTATTAATCAACTTAATCTACAACAAACCGACCATAGCTGCATATTCTTTTATTAAAGCAATTGTTTTAATTTATTTATTGCTTGTAATTTTTTTCTCATATTGAGAGGGTCAACATGAAAAATTATTGAGTTAATTTTGCTTATAACAATTAATCAAATCTACACTACCACTTATCACAAGCAATGAATCAGCTATTCATAAATAAGATTGGAAAAAGCATAAAACTTTTAGAGATGATAAAAAAAAATTATATTTTTATGGAAAAAGAAAATTATGCAATTAGATTTGAAAGGGAAGAAAATCATTTCACACCTTGTAAGTTCCAAAACAATTTATTAAATTGTAATAGAATTTCAAATTTTCATGCATCCCTAAAAGTGTATTGTTAACAATAAAAGCTATTATTAAGCTCGATTATTATTATTTCTTAGATTACTTATATACCTTAATTTATAATTTCACTTTCATATATAGATGGTGCCTTAATAGTTAAATTCTATTCTTCATCACTTCAAAGACTGAAAGATAACTAGATTTCATGATATGACCAACCCTTAATTTTCAATAATAATCTAAGGCCTTAAGAGGAATATCAGTTTTTTCAAAGTTTATACCTTTTGAAAATACAAATTTATGTCTTTGGTTAAATCAATGAATAATGCATAAAAATCTGAATCATTAATATTGATATTACACAAAGGATTAAAATTGCCATGCGAAAGCTTTTAAAATCTTTTTAGATTTATGCGACTAAAGCAAATATTATCTGTATAGATAATTGGGGAAAATAATTATAAATAATTTTTCATGTTTAATTATGGTTTATTCTAACAGATTCAAAGTATAGAGTTCAAACCATATGCTTTATATCCAACCTATTCTACGAGATTTCAAAGTTTATTTCTACCAATTTAAGATATTAGTTATTTTAAGAGGAGTAATTAGAAGGCTTTTTATTTTGATAAATAAATGGATTTCAAAGGAAACAATAAATATATTGTCCTGACTCATCTCTTCCTATTAAACCACACTAGGTTGTAATAACCTTTCAGCTTTTAATGATATAATCTGTTTATGGAAAATTATTGAATTTAGATGTACTATCGAAAAGATATGAGCCGAAAATTTAAAGATATGTTTGGCTTTTATGTACCCTCAGTTATTATTTGTTTCTGAGTAGAAAAAGTAGATTTCTCTAAACTAATATATGCATTAAAATATTCACAGTAATTAGAATGTTAATCCTATTGATTATTTAACATTCTTATGAACAAAAGGCTTATTTTAATAAATCATATCTGTTTTAAATTTATGATGATATAAAAAAATAAGAATAGTTATAATTTTCCTATTAAAGTTCAAAAATAACTCATCTTTATTACATAATCAATATATCTACTATTTCTCAATAAACAAAAATAAATAATCCATTTAAATTTAGAAAAATAATTAAGCTCATATATCTACTTTGGGGGTATTAAGAATATTACAATTATACTAAATTCTTCTTTAAATTGAAAATTTGAATTTCTTCGATTAAAGGAGAATATTTGAATTGTTGCTATGAATGGGTGTTGATGCTGTAATTAAGAATTTATTTTTAGTCCTTTTGAAATAACAGTGTATAGCTAACTTCTGATAGCTCCAAATGTTAATCGTTTTGTTAATTTTAAATTAAGAAATTAAACCACGCCTTCTTATCTATTATTCTAGTAGATATATGAAAATAATAATTCATATGAATGGAGGAAGATTTAAATATAACATAAATATTTGTTAATAATTTAAATAAATGCATTCTCATCAATCCAATTACATAATCAACATTAATAACTGACTAAAATTTCAAAATTATTACAATAATTAGTTTTTAAAGTTACAACCATTTTACACTAGAATCATTTTTTAAGGGTTATTCATTTCTGGTATCACTTTAAGGTTTTCACTTTTCCTTGTTTGGCTAGATATTAACTCTTTCATATTGTGTACTAATTCCATGAATTCATTATAATCATTTTTAAGTATACTGAATAAGGAAAAAAATTTAACCTTTAATTTAACAGTCTATAAATAAGTGAGCTAAGGAATATTCACAGTTACTTATGTTAAGCAGACAGATTTAATTCATTTTCTATTACAATTTTTTTTTATTTATTTCATGTCTATGATCTCATTGATCATTTATATTATTTTACTTTGGAATCATTATTGGTCTGACTTCATGGTGGAGTAAAGAACGAATGATTATCTTTGCTGTAAATGTATTTTAATTCTAGCCTTATTGAAAATTATTTATTTAGCCTTTTTATCTATAGATGGCCTAATGTTGTTTTCTTGTTTGTAATTGATTTGATTTTTAAATTCTTTTTTTCTTCTGATCTGATTTTCTATTTTTATTTTTCATCCAAATTTCTTATAGTTGCTTTTTAAATTTTTTTTTTGTTTCCTTTCTTCTAAATACCCAAAGGTTTTTCATTTTCGATTTCTTATATTGTGGGAACTAATCGATTAGAATCATGACGAAATTTTTAGTTATTTATTTATGATGGTTAAGAAAATTTTGAATGATTTAACTATCCGAAAATTATCTAGTAACACAAGTGAGCTTAAGGTACAATTTATCGATCTAATCAGAATAACTATGTATGATTTTAAAAGAACAGTTAAAATTGATCCTTATTATTTTGATAATTTTTCCATCATGTTTTATATTAATATCTTCTCTACTTAATTAAGTCTGTATTTTCTATTATTACTTTATTTCTTTTTTTAACAGTTAAATTTAGGGTCATCCCATTTTTAAATCAGATCATCTCTAATAAATGTGGTACTTCTATAGTTTAAGCAATATGTCAAAATTCAAATTCTTCATCTTTTAGGTTTATTATTTGAAAACCAAATAATATGTGAAAGAACTAACATGATTTCACTAATTTCCCTTGCGTTATAATTATCTGAAGGGCGATATGAGTCTCAAATTTAAGTGTAGCGTATTTAAATATTTTAAAAATAATGAATAATAATATTTTTTTAATTAGATTACAAAAATGAACAAAAGTGTCGTTATTTTGATTCAAAAAATAACAAATTGTTGTGAACATTCAATTGAGGAGAATGTAGTATTAAAATTTTGATAATAAATATATGATATAATACAAATTATTTGAAAGTATTAAAAATGATGTGCTTTTGCGCATATTTATTAATTTAAGGATTTAAATTTCTAACTTTGATTATGATAGATTGTAAATAAAATTCTTATTACTCCTCCCTAAAATTGTTATTTTGAAGCACTTTTTAAATAAATATGGAATTATATAATTAGATCAATTTATTATGAAAATATTATATTATTTTTTGAATAATACTAGAAAATAACTTTTTTTAAAGAAGCATTAAAATTGATAAATTACTTTCTACAATATATTATATTTTTATCAAAAAATATTATAGTGTATAATGTAGATAAAGAATAGAGAATAATTAATTTAATTCTAAATTTAATATAGTTATTAAAATTTGTTAAATAGTTAAATTGATTAAGTTAATCGAATTATTAAGATTTTTTAATGTAAAAAATTGATATTAATTAATAATGATAATTCTCGTTATTTTAATATCTGTAACTCGTCAAACTATCATTTATGAGTATAATGCTAATTCTTTAACAACGGATGGTAGTATCTTTATATTTATATTAGGATGGGTAGGTAGTCTTGATTTCAATGATTTTGGAGGGATTCAATTTTTTGGGTCTCCTAATGCTTATAGTTAGATTAGCAGAATCTTTGTGAAATTAGAAACTCATTCTCATATTATAGTGGATGCACAATATCTAAGGTATTTATTACAAAAGTATTGATAGTGATAATCCATTTTTATTCTATATAGACTAGTAAATATAAAATAATGGGTAAATGATATTATCTTAAAATACGATATGGGATGGTGCATAATCTAAAGATTTGTATACTATTTCTATTACTAATTAACATAATAGAGGAACTCTTTGGATTAATATTTAAGAGTAACCTGGAGGATTAATATCATTAAAGTTAAGTATCATTAAATGTTAGTATGAATGTGCTGGATGCATTGAAAATTATGATACAATTTGTTTATAATGGAAACTACATTAATATTCATTTAATTAGAAATAGTTCACGTACTCCGATGGATGGACTTTTTAATCAAGTTCTATTACATCTTACTAGTATTGTGGAAATTGTTAATTTTTGCGCTTTTATTAAATTAAATACTAAACTTATCTACCTCCTCATTAAGATATATTAATAAGGTTTTTTAAATTAGATCCATTTATAATGATAGTAGACTATATATATGATAAATTAACTATTAATGCTGAATATTTAATAGAAATATTAATAAGAAATCATCGTGATCCGATATTATAACTGAATATTTATTCTGCATTTTATAATGATATAAGAGATTTTGAACTATTTTATACTGAACCAGAAATAACATTTAAGAATTTGAATGAAGGTTGTTTAGAATAAATAAATGATAAATGTTTAATTTGTTAAGAAGGTTGGATTTAAGATGAATTTCTAGAAAATTGTCATCCAATTTGTGGAGATGGAATCATTCAAGGNTATAAATAACACATCAATTTAATTTCTAATTTTGATTATGAGTTTTACTCACTAGGTTATTAAAATATTCGCATACTCCATAAGTGTTTTTTTGAAGCACTATTCTTTCAATCATTCTATAAAGAAATAAAAATAACATTCATATAAATTGCATTGCATTTAAAATTGATAAATTACTTTCTAAGATATATATTTACTAATAAATATATTATTGTAGAAAGTTTAGAAGAAGAAAAGAGAAGAGAAGAATTAATTTAATTCTAAAATAATCTAGTCATTAAAATTTGTTAAAAATAGTTATATTGATTAACTTAATCAAATTATTAAGATTTTTTAATATAAAAAAATTGATATTAATTAATAATGATAATTCTCTTTATTATAATCACTCTAACTCGTCAAACTATCATTAATGAGTTTAATGCTAATTCTTAAGCAAGAGATGGTAATTTCTTTATTTTTACTTTAGGATGGGAAGGTAGTTCTAATTTCAATACTTGTGGAGAGATTCAATTTTTTGGGTCACCTAATGCTTATAGTTAGATTAGCAGAATCTTTTTGGATCTAGAACCTCATTCTCATATTATAGTGGATGCACAATATCTAAGGTATTTAATATTTTTCATTGCAAAGTATTGGTGCCTTTTATTTAATTTAATTCTATATAGACTTGCAATTATAAAATATTGTGTAAGTGATATCATCTTAAAGTTCGATATGTAGTGGCATAGACCCTACAGATTTGTATACTATTTCTATTACTAATTAACATAATAGAGGAACTCTTTGGATTAATATTTAAGAGTAACCTGGAGGATTAATATCATTAAAGTTAAGTATCATTAAATGTTAGTATGAATGTGCTGGATGCATTGAAAATTATGATACAATTTGTTTATAATGGAAACTACATTAATATTCATTTAATTAGAAATAGTTCACGTACTCCGATGGATGGACTTTTTAATCAAGTTCTATTACATCTTACTAGTATTGTGGAAATTGTTAATTTTTGGGCTTTTAATAAATTAAATACTAAACTTATCTACCTCCTCATTAAGATATATTAATAAGGTTTTTTAAATTAGATCCATTTATAATGATAGTAGACTATATATATGATAAATTAACTATTAATGCTGAATATTTAATAGAAATATTAATAAGAAATCATCGTGATCCGATATTATAACTGAATATTTATTCTGCATTTTATAATGATATAAGAGATTTTGAACTATTTTATACTGAACCAGAAATAACATTTATGAATTTGAATGAAGGTTGTTTAGAATAAATAAATGATAAATGTTTAATTTGTTAAGAAGGTTGGATTTAAGATGAAATTCTACAAAATTGTCATCCAATTTGTGGAGATGGAATCATTCAAGGTTAAGAATAATGTGATTATATAATATCTAATCATTCTTGTATTCAATGCAAATATTCTTGTGTTCAAAATTGTTAAATTTGTTAATTTGGAATTTGTTTATAATGCATAGATGGATTTATAATTAATTCAAATTTTANATTCTTTCAATCATTCTATAAAGAAATAAAAATAACATTCATATAAATTGCATTGCATTTAAAATTGATAAATTACTTTCTAAGATATATATTTACTAATAAATATATTATTGTAGAAAGTTTAGAAGAAGAAAAGAGAAGAGAAGAATTAATTTAATTCTAAAATAATCTAGTCATTAAAATTTGTTAAAAATAGTTATATTGATTAACTTAATCAAATTATTAAGATTTTTTAATATAAAAAAATTGATATTAATTAATAATGATAATTCTCTTTATTATAATCACTCTAACTCGTCAAACTATCATTAATGAGTTTAATGCTAATTCTTAAGCAAGAGATGGTAATTTCTTTATTTTTACTTTAGGATGGGAAGGTAGTTCTAATTTCAATACTTGTGGAGAGATTCAATTTTTTGGGTCACCTAATGCTTATAGTTAGATTAGCAGAATCTTTTTGGATCTAGAACCTCATTCTCATATTATAGTGGATGCACAATATCTAAGGTATTTAATATTTTTCATTGCAAAGTATTGGTGCCTTTTATTTAATTTAATTCTATATAGACTTGCAATTATAAAATATTGTGTAAGTGATATCATCTTAAAGTTCGATATGTAGTGGCATAGACCCTACAGATTTGTATACTATTTCTATTACTAATTAACATAATAGAGGAACTCTTTGGATTAATATTTAAGAGTAACCTGGAGGATTAATATCATTAAAGTTAAGTATCATTAAATGTTAGTATGAATGTGCTGGATGCATTGAAAATTATGATACAATTTGTTTATAATGGAAACTACATTAATATTCATTTAATTAGAAATAGTTCACGTACTCCGATGGATGGACTTTTTAATCAAGTTCTATTACATCTTACTAGTATTGTGGAAATTGTTAATTTTTGCGCTTTTATTAAATTAAATACTAAACTTATCTACCTCCTCATTAAGATATATTAATAAGGTTTTTTAAATTAGATCCATTTATAATGATAGTAGACTATATATATGATAAATTAACTATTAATGCTGAATATTTAATAGAAATATTAATAAGAAATCATCGTGATCCGATATTATAACTGAATATTTATTCTGCATTTTATAATGATATAAGAGATTTTGAACTATTTTATACTGAACCAGAAATAACATTTAAGAATTTGAATGAAGGTTGTTTAGAATAAATAAATGATAAATGTTTAATTTGTTAAGAAGGTTGGATTTAAGATGAATTTCTAGAAAATTGTCATCCAATTTGTGGAGATGGAATCATTCAAGGTTAAGAATAATGTGATTATATAATATCTAATCATTCTTGTATTCAATGCAAATATTCTTGTGTTCAAAATTGTTAAATTTGTTAATTTGGAATTTGTTTATAATGCATAGATGGATTTATAATTAATTCAAATTTTACTTGTGATCCTTTTTGCGGAGATGGCAATTTGATCCCTTATTCAGTTGAATAATGTGAACTGACTGTTAATGGTGTGTGGGATGGTTGTTAGGATTGTAGATTTATTTCAATAGCTAATTGTAAAACTAACTATTTTTCAATTTGTTTTGAGTGCGAAGTAGGATTTTAAATGTTAGAAAATGTATGTTTTCCATATTGTGGAGATAAGTTAGTTCTATAATAATATGAGGATTGCGATGATGGAAATTTTGAACCTTACGATGGTTGTTTTTAATGCAAGTTTTAATGCATTGAAGATTGCAATATATGTGATCGAGGATAATGCATTTTAAAATGTGGAAATGGATATGAGTTTGTTAATAATAATTGTCTCTCTGTTTGTGGCGATTAAGTTGTCACAAAAGAGGAAGATTGTGATGATGGTAATATGATAAAATTTGATGGTTGTTTTCAGTGTAAGTATTCTTGCCCAGAAAATTGTTATGATTGCTATTAAGGTACTTGTTTAGAGTGCATAGATTAATACTAATTGCTAGTTTCAAATTAATGCAAATAATAATTAAATTGTGGAGATGGTTTGGTCTAGGAAGAAGAGGAATGCGATGATGGTAATTATTATGCAGCCGATGGATGCAAGGATTGCATAATTGAATAAAATTGGGCTTGTATCACAATTATAAAAGATTCTCCTAGCTAATGTACATTCGTCAAAGCTCCAAACCTATTTATTCATTATCTCAATATGACTTAAAATAAATAATATATCAGCATCTAATTTACTTAATAAGTAAAAATATATACACCTTAACCCTTATCAGAAACTTTGAAATTTGAATTACCAGATATAGACAAGCAGAACTGGAATAGTCGCTTATATATAATTTAGGATGTTGGATCATATTTGAGTTTTGGAGAATATATTGTTCAAATAGAAGTTTACTAATTACTAAAATTTAGACCGCTCTTGAAAATCTTGGTGAATCAGAAAGTTGCTAATATAGATAATGCAATTTTGGTAGATTTAGAAGAATAAATAACATTACAATATCCAAATTATTTAGATTAGACTCAGAAGGGTTATTCTTAAAGTTTAAAGAGTCTAAATCAATATTTAATTTATAGCTTATCAGCGATTACTATTCTAAGCATGCTATTGGGAAGTGGGGATTTGTTTATTGAGATTTTAGCAATCCTTTAATTTTAGTAATACTTAAGATATATCAATTTATAATATCCTGAAAACCTAGTTATTTATTTTTCTATTAATGATCTTATAACTGTTCAACCTCTCTTGGATTTTTTGTAATTTCCTCAACTTTTACAGTTTATTGATATTAAGTCAAATTCGGAATATTGCGATGGAAAATTTAATGTTTACAAATAAAATTCAAGCTTGATTATCAATCTTTCGTGCCAAATATTTTAATGCTTAATATTTTTATTCCTTATTTTACTGTTTCGATGGGTAAAAAGAGCTTTGTACATATCGATATTTTGTTCTAGATACTTTTACTTTATGTCATCGTTATCGTTATATATAAATCCAAAAATTATTTTAAAAATTAGTTAATCCTTTTATAAAATTTGCCTGGAGTTACTTAAATTGGAAAAATTTATGTCTTTATAAGGATTGTAAAAAGCCTTACTACTCAATGGTTGGGATATGATATTTAAAACACTATTGTATACACGAAACATCTAAACTAAGAATTACTTAGATGCTGTACAAGTCGTTATCGTAATTATTATCCTTCTTCTTTATTTTAACATATTACTAAATTTTTTCAAAAGCAATTAACAATTATCGAATGTGAATAGAAGTCTAAGGTTCGAAATTATAAGTTTTGGTCGATAATTTTTCTTTTTATTATTCTTGATTTATGTTTAAAATTCGCAAATACTCTAATTAGGATTGCTCCTTTTAACAAGCTTAATATAAACAATGTTCCTTTAAAAATATCATTTAACTTTTAACTAAAAGAACTACATCGTTTAGATGGTAGTTGAGATATCAGTAATTGCTTTTATACTTAGTTCATTTTTATACATATAAGAGTTTAATGAATAATTTAATCAAAAGAACAAAATTTTATTAGGATGGTTTCAAGCAATTCTACTATCAACAGGCATAATTATAGAATTACTTTTAATCTGTTAAGGATTATTATAAAAATATAAATTGATGGGCAGAAGAAAGCAATTAGTCATTAAAAATCCATTATTTATATGAATATTATGAAGTAATAATTACATAAAAGTTTATAAATTACATAAATTATTAAATATCATCACATGATGAATAATCAAAATTAAATTTATCAACAAACATTATTATTCTGATAATTTCCTGCAACATGTTTATCATCACATCCTTGACTTTCATTCATAATAACAAAGTACAAGATTATAATGCATAGTCATTAATCAATAATGTTAATTATCTAAACCCAGTTATCAGTTATAGGTGAATATTAGAGTGTAATTTTAATTCTGGAGTTTTGAATTAGAAAAGAGAAGTTGATTTACATTAATTAGTTATGAATAGCTTTAGATCAGAGCTCTTTGAAGGCAATTTTAATACAAATAATAATTGATTTTATAGTAGCTATTCGATAAACGGATCTCTTGTTGAACTCGCTTAAATGGAGAGAGACATTTTTTTAATTTTCTTTCTTCAATTTAATGAATTGAATTGTCCTCCTTGTGAACCGAATTTTAACCTTATAAACTTAATTAATGTAAATTAAGCAGTAAATAACTTCATCACATATTTAATATACATTAATTTGAAATAGCTAAATAGGTCAAAAAAATTATATATTCATTATATATTACTTCTACTTTTTTGGAAGGTAGTTCAACTTACTATTCCTTTTAAATAAAAGTTTTTGTAAAATAGATTATATAGATAATAGAATAGAGTAATGGACAACAATATATAAATTATTATTGTCTCATAGACACAAATATACAGTGATAATAAAATGAGACAATTTAATTGACTTATTATCATTTCAATAGATTCTTCTAAAATAACCAAAAATATGAAACAAAGAAAATAAATATCTTAAAAGTGTTTTAAGTAATTTCTCATCCATAAAATCATTATAGATAATTCTAAATTAATTAGTGTTCTTATTTACTTAAATAAAATAAGGTTTGTTTTAAAGATATAAGCTAAGAATAGATTGAAATATAATTTTAATTAATATTCGAGGCAATGAAATTTCTTGCTGTTTATTGGAATTTTATTTCTTCGATTTTTAAAATTTCAAAATTGCTTAGAATAATTATCTGCTAGATTAAATGTTCTTCTTCAATGATATTGTTTAATCCAAATATTGCTTTGATTGAATTTGAGATTGAAAAATTATATAATTAAGATTATGATAGCATTTGATATTTAGATAATTTATCTTTAAACCATATCTAATCTTAATGAATCGATCCTTACATTCTCTATTCCAAGTTAAGTTAGAAAACTCTTAAGTTTTTAAAGTAATATTTAATTTTTTGTATTTGAATCTGATACTCTTATAAAAAAAAATAAGTCCTCCTCTTATAAATATAAATCCTTATTTTACAAAAATTTTGCCATTTTTTTAGAACCTCATGCGCTAAATTCATCCAAGCCTTTGAGGAAAACTTAGTTTCAAGAATTTTAAGTAGACACGGGAGAGTTCTACCCATTAACAAGTCTAGAATTATGGTTGATCACTATATTCAGAGGTCATTTACTATGTGGTTGCGTATGGCCATTTAAATCTTATATTTTGTTTGGAGAGAAGGACTAAAAAGAGGAGGAAAATGACCAAAATTTAATTATTATGAGAATGGCTATAAATTTGTGGGCGAGTAGATTATTTTAAATGCAGGGCTATGTGTGATGTAATATTTCATTTGAACTAGTTAGGGATGGAAATCTTTTATTTCCTAATGTTTCATTACGATTACACGAAATGATGTATTTTAAGCAAGTAGTTTCTCGTATATAAAATTCACATCTTTATATTGTGAAGATTCTTATCATTTGTCTAGTGAGAATTTGCGAATAGAGATCAGAGTTGCTTGCACCAATACAAAATGTAGTAAGGTCGATTAGATACTTGCTTCTTGTTCTCTACAACTTTAACTCTGGCAGTGGTTATATTTCAATAAACCTTTAAATTCTGCTAACTTAGCTATATACTTTTAGAAATAGATTATATAAACTTACAAATACATGATATTGATAACATTGATCTATTTCTCAGCATCTTGATTCTAGCCTTATTAGAAAGTCTTTCACAATTAATCAATCTTCAATTCACGACAGATTCATTGCATTTGATTTTAGAAATAACATACTATGAGCAATACTGTGGCCACCTTCTAAATTTGACATAGCTTGTAGAAGAATTTCTTGAATTATTTAAATTCCCAAGTGTGCTTTTAGAGAACTCAGACGCTTTCATGCTTGTTGAGATCTTTTCCTGATCTTATAAATATTACTTAAAACAATAGAAACTATTAGGATTTGGTTGAATTAGGGATTGGGCATATTTAATGATACAGCATAATCTTAATTTATCAAATAATTGATCGATTAAATTAATTAATCCTCACGTACAAACTATTAATAATATGCCTAATTTTCTTTCCTAAATTATGCTAGATATTCATTCATTTAGAACTTTCCAATAATCATGAGGAATTGATGGGAAAAATTTGAATAGTTTATCTTCCTTTAATTCATGCCCCTTACTGTAAACTCGTTAGTGTATTTTCATGTACTTAGAATATCGACTACAATATAGCGATGGTTTGAATTTATATACATAAAAATATTAATATAATAAAGGAATCACATAAATAAAGAACCTTTTTGATAAAATTTGATCATCCAAATATGATTAGAAGAATGGATAATAGATTTTATGAAATAGAATTGGAGTTCTTGCAATGATAGCCATTAAGATTAATAAATTAACAATATTTCTTAGACTGTAATAATCTATGAAGTTATTTTTATATTAAATTTAAATTTTAGATTTCCATCTTCTATATATAAATACTTGATCTCCTTGGAATCTGGTAATGTTTCATAAATAAATAATTAAGAATTTGAAGTTATTAATCAAAAAATTGATTTTGTTCCCTTCTCTTTTAAAAAAGCTTTTGTCATATTGATCATAAGCACTTAAAGCAATCATAGCTTGGAGAAGCCTTTAGACTAAGTACTCTATAACTTTTTTGAATTTAAGGGCAGAATGTGAAAATGTGAGTTAATTTTCAAGTTAAGAGCATATATTGGTCGTTTCAGTGTTAAATTTTAAAATTCTCTTGACTAATTGGTATTATGATTTTCGTTTATAGATATGGAAATTCATTAATTTTACTATTTTATATTATTAAATGAAGTCTGTATTTAATCGCTTTTATCATAAACCCATTTATCATATGTATATTATTATTATAAATCGCACATAAATATATACTTCATCAAGGATTAATCAGAAATTTTAATTCTGGTCTTACATTTATTCCAAGAAGACAGACCTTCATCATTCTAATAATGCCAGTTTCTACCGATGGATACTCTAGAAAAAAGTAAGGATATGATGGATTCAGGACTATAAATACGACGGAACTGATATCGCTTTTCTCTTTTAGGGTGCTCGCTATGGCAACGTAATTATCTAAACCATATTAAAGATTTTATAAAGGAGTAATATATTCTTTTTATAAGCCTTGTCATTACAATTCTAAATTTATTTATTTATAGGTATAATCTCTGATTACAATAAGAAATCCAAAACTTTGCTAAGCCCAGCCAACCATTTGCATTTTCTTACCATATGCGTTCGAATGATATTAAGAAAAATTTCATAATAAATCAAGTTGCCAGCATGTAAATTTGCAGTTTTAGTGTCTGAAGCTTGTAAGTTAATGCCGATTCTACTTCAATTAGGTTTGAGTAAATGAGTTAGGCTTATGTACTTATTAAAATCATTTGAATCTTCTCTAGTATACAAGAAAATAATTGTCCTTCAAGCAAAGAGATTAGAAGCTCTTTTTGGAGTAAGTAATTATTAGTTCTGAAACCTGAGGTTAAGGATTAGGTTTTACATAACGGTGCCTAATCTTAATTAATCGATTGGATCTGTTAGATAGATTTTCTTATTTGTATATCATCTTTTCTAATTTCTTTTTAATCCTTTTTCGTTCTTTCTAAATTGCGGATCTTACCTTCTCCTTTTTCCTATTTTGCAAACATGATCTAAACCTCTTGTAGGGACCAAGTAAAGTTCTCTAATTCGATGAAATTCTTAAGGTACTTAACCTTTTAAACAGAGAGCTAAAGGCATGCCAATTCATTTGAAGATCTATAATACCAAAAAAATTATAAAGTGACTTAAATCTTAATTGAAATTAAATTAAAAAATTTTAAACAGATTTAAAATAAGGAATTAGTGAAGAATAAAATTTTGAATTTTTTGTATAAATAACACATCAATTTAATTTCTAATTTTGATTATGAGTTTTACTCACTAGGTTATTAAAATATTCGCATACTCCATAAGTGTTTTTTTGAAGCACTATTCTTTCAATCATTCTATAAAGAAATAAAAATAACATTCATATAAATTGCATTGCATTTAAAATTGATAAATTACTTTCTAAGATATATATTTACTAATAAATATATTATTGTAGAAAGTTTAGAAGAAGAAAAGAGAAGAGAAGAATTAATTTAATTCTAAAATAATCTAGTCATTAAAATTTGTTAAAAATAGTTATATTGATTAACTTAATCAAATTATTAAGATTTTTTAATATAAAAAAATTGATATTAATTAATAATGATAATTCTCTTTATTATAATCACTCTAACTCGTCAAACTATCATTAATGAGTTTAATGCTAATTCTTAAGCAAGAGATGGTAATTTCTTTATTTTTACTTTAGGATGGGAAGGTAGTTCTAATTTCAATACTTGTGGAGAGATTCAATTTTTTGGGTCACCTAATGCTTATAGTTAGATTAGCAGAATCTTTTTGGATCTAGAACCTCATTCTCATATTATAGTGGATGCACAATATCTAAGGTATTTAATATTTTTCATTGCAAAGTATTGGTGCCTTTTATTTAATTTAATTCTATATAGACTTGCAATTATAAAATATTGTGTAAGTGATATCATCTTAAAGTTCGATATGTAGTGGCATAGACCCTACAGATTTGTATACTATTTCTATTACTAATTAACATAATAGAGGAACTCTTTGGATTAATATTTAAGAGTAACCTGGAGGATTAATATCATTAAAGTTAAGTATCATTAAATGTTAGTATGAATGTGCTGGATGCATTGAAAATTATGATACAATTTGTTTATAATGGAAACTACATTAATATTCATTTAATTAGAAATAGTTCACGTACTCCGATGGATGGACTTTTTAATCAAGTTCTATTACATCTTACTAGTATTGTGGAAATTGTTAATTTTTGGGCTTTTAATAAATTAAATACTAAACTTATCTACCTCCTCATTAAGATATATTAATAAGGTTTTTTAAATTAGATCCATTTATAATGATAGTAGACTATATATATGATAAATTAACTATTAATGCTGAATATTTAATAGAAATATTAATAAGAAATCATCGTGATCCGATATTATAACTGAATATTTATTCTGCATTTTATAATGATATAAGAGATTTTGAACTATTTTATACTGAACCAGAAATAACATTTATGAATTTGAATGAAGGTTGTTTAGAATAAATAAATGATAAATGTTTAATTTGTTAAGAAGGTTGGATTTAAGATGAAATTCTACAAAATTGTCATCCAATTTGTGGAGATGGAATCATTCAAGGTTAAGAATAATGTGATTATATAATATCTAATCATTCTTGTATTCAATGCAAATATTCTTGTGTTCAAAATTGTTAAATTTGTTAATTTGGAATTTGTTTATAATGCATAGATGGATTTATAATTAATTCAAATTTTANGAAGCACTTTTTAAATAAATATGGAATTATATAATTAGATCAATTTATTATGAAAATATTATATTATTTTTTGAATAATACTAGAAAATAACTTTTTTTAAAGAAGCATTAAAATTGATAAATTACTTTCTACAATATATTATATTTTTATCAAAAAATATTATAGTGTATAATGTAGATAAAGAATAGAGAATAATTAATTTAATTCTAAATTTAATATAGTTATTAAAATTTGTTAAATAGTTAAATTGATTAAGTTAATCGAATTATTAAGATTTTTTAATGTAAAAAATTGATATTAATTAATAATGATAATTCTCGTTATTTTAATATCTGTAACTCGTCAAACTATCATTTATGAGTATAATGCTAATTCTTTAACAACGGATGGTAGTATCTTTATATTTATATTAGGATGGGTAGGTAGTCTTGATTTCAATGATTTTGGAGGGATTCAATTTTTTGGGTCTCCTAATGCTTATAGTTAGATTAGCAGAATCTTTGTGAAATTAGAAACTCATTCTCATATTATAGTGGATGCACAATATCTAAGGTATTTATTACAAAAGTATTGATAGTGATAATCCATTTTTATTCTATATAGACTAGTAAATATAAAATAATGGGTAAATGATATTATCTTAAAATACGATATGGGATGGTGCATAATCTAAAGATTTGTATACTATTTCTATTACTAATTAACATAATAGAGGAACTCTTTGGATTAATATTTAAGAGTAACCTGGAGGATTAATATCATTAAAGTTAAGTATCATTAAATGTTAGTATGAATGTGCTGGATGCATTGAAAATTATGATACAATTTGTTTATAATGGAAACTACATTAATATTCATTTAATTAGAAATAGTTCACGTACTCCGATGGATGGACTTTTTAATCAAGTTCTATTACATCTTACTAGTATTGTGGAAATTGTTAATTTTTGCGCTTTTATTAAATTAAATACTAAACTTATCTACCTCCTCATTAAGATATATTAATAAGGTTTTTTAAATTAGATCCATTTATAATGATAGTAGACTATATATATGATAAATTAACTATTAATGCTGAATATTTAATAGAAATATTAATAAGAAATCATCGTGATCCGATATTATAACTGAATATTTATTCTGCATTTTATAATGATATAAGAGATTTTGAACTATTTTATACTGAACCAGAAATAACATTTATGAATTTGAATGAAGGTTGTTTAGAATAAATAAATGATAAATGTTTAATTTGTTAAGAAGGTTGGATTTAAGATGAAATTCTACAAAATTGTCATCCAATTTGTGGAGATGGAATCATTCAAGGTTATGAATAATGTGATTATCTAATATCTAATCATTCTTGTATTCAATGCAAATATTCTTGTGTTCAAAATTGTTAAATTTGTTAATTTGGAATTTGTTTATAATGCATAGATGGATTTGAATTGTCTTTAAAGATTTAAAATTGCAAATCTATTTATAATGATATCCAATTTGGCGGATATTATAATTGTTAATCAAATTAAGACTTAAATTGTTAACTTTGCAGAGATTAAACATGCTAATTTTGTAAAATTGGATGGGAACTTAAAGAGAATAAATGTGAATAAGTTTGTGGAGATGGATTAATTGCCCTGAATTCAATTGAACAATGTGATGATTCAAATTCGATTTAAAATGATGGATGTTTTGAGTGCTAATTTGAATGTGTGCCAAATTGTTTATCATGTATGGATAACTAAGTTTGTTTGATATGTTAAGACTACTTTTAATTTGAAGGATAATTGTGCTAACCAATATGTGGAGATGGCATTATTATTTCTGGATTTGAGGATTGCGATGACGGAAATATTGAACCTTATGATGGTTGTTATTAATGTTAATATTAATGTTCATAAGGCTGTCTTGATTGTGAATATAGATAAGCTTGTAAAAAATGTGATAGTTAATACATCTTAAATAATGATACTGCTGAATGCTAAAAGATCATATCATTAGATGATGAAGATTAGAATAAAGATGAAAATGAGAATATCATTTGCAGCAAAAATTCTATATTAATTGATAATGAATGTGTTAATTAATGTGGAAATGGAATTCTTAATTAAAAATATGAATAATGTGACGATGGAAATTTAATTGGAGGAGATGGGTGCTCATTTTTATGTTTAGAAGAAGATTCCTATTAATGCTAAAATCATGAAAGCAGCGTGAGCATTTGTTCTTACATTCAACCTCCTGACTTTATTTTATATCGTCTCTCCAGCTAAACAAATCAGACTTAAGTAATTGAATTAAGATTCACATAGAAAGTCAAATTACTAGCTGATTTAAACTTTGAAGATTTTGCAGTCGTTTTTCTTATTAATAAAACCAATTCAGTAATTAGTATCAAGCCTGTTGTAAAACTATCAACAACATTAGATTACCCAATATATTAAATTATTGTTTATTTTAGAGAACTTGTAAAGGATCCAGTTCTTTAGATTAATCTAGCTTAAATAACTATTAAAGATGAATATGATTTAGATTTAAAGAGAAATGAGATGCAAATAAGTCTTGGCAACCCATTTGTGTTATCTGAGAGCACCCAAAAAAAAGTGGCATAAATTATACTTCTTAATGATGGAATGATTTATTCCAT